TATATATATATATATATATATATATATATATATATATATATATATATATATAGATATATATATATATATATATATATATATATGGAAAGTGAAATGTATATGTATATGCGTAATGTATATGTATACAAATATATGTGTATATGTATACATTGCTACGCCAAGCGTGCACAACCCTAACATGCACATAGTATGGACACACGTGGATCCCCTCGTGCACAGAGCTACCTGATGATAGCAATCAAGTCAGTGGCAGAGATACACGCGGAAGACCGTTTAGCACGCACATTTTTTGGCAAACACTGTGCACGTTCACATGCGGGATAGGCCAAAAGGGCGCGCATGCCCGCCTATAGGCTGAGTCCTTAATTGGAAAATAGGACAAAGGTCAACGAGAGTGCACCTCATGTCCTGAGTTTTGGATTGTACTTGGTGTAATACAGTCGGCAGAGAGGGCAGCTTAGAGACTCCTCAGCTCGAATGCAGATATGTCGTGCGAGCCTGCACTCAATATGAATTAAACAATCAGCAAACTTGAGAGCTGCTTTGGTATGTCTCCGATGTGAGTGTAAGCTTAAAGCACTGCAACACAATTAGGTTAGAGGTTTACAGAAGGGAGACCTTCAGCTTTAGAGCGATTTGTCTTCGCCGGCAAATGTAATTTAGTAATGAAGTCTTTAGAAGAAGCGCGTGTGGAGGTCAGGTCAGACAGATAAGCGATGTGCTGTACCGAACAGTAAACGGAACACCGACGGTTTGACTCACCATCACCAAATAGTCCACCACAAATCATACTGTCTTTGGTAACAAGGAGCGTGTGGTGTGTAAAGTGTACGCTACTCCCACAAGCTTTATCCATCGAATGGTAGTAACGACCAAGACACCTATATTTATAAACTAATTGATACTCATCTCATGGTGTTTTCCTTTTTCGTTTTATTGTTAAAATCTTAACTTTCTAACGCCTTTATACACGACTCCAAGTCGGGATACTTAAATTGATACCCCGTCTCCATGGCAACCGTTGGCTTCACATTTTGTCCCTAGAGCAGATGAATGTAACAACGAAGATGAGTTTACGCACAGCACACGAACGATGAGATCGAGCCATTCACAGTTGGAATAAAAAACAGTCCATTCACATATAACGTCCCAGAATTCGGTCAATATGTAAACTTAGACGGCCGGTATCTCAGAACACCACAAGCTAATTATTCTCGACGAGTGACACAGAGACACAAGCAAATTTGAAATAAGAACTGGTTATAAGTATACAGGAATATCAAATACATCTTTGCGCAAGAGAAAATATTGCAAAAGCGATAACAACGTACCTCCAATAACATTGCCGATCGGTCCTTCCCAAGCAGTGTAGACATCACAAAACCCGGAACAGTGAATAGGTACGGGCGGTGCATGATGCTAGCAAGCTTACGAACAAACTGTGATGACACATGATAAAAAAGTAGATATGTGAAGGTTCAGCGGCCAGTTTGTCTACAGATTCCAATCTCACTATTTGGTAGAATGATATAACGATTGCGTCTCGGTTTAACAGATAGTTGGCAAATATAATCAAAAGTAGAGGCCTATTGAAGGCCTATGAGTGTGATAATTCTTCCATCGGACATATATAATAGGTTCCGGCGACTGGTTATTAGCGGATTCAATACACATAAACGAGGATCTTGTTATTGACGCGATGTTAACTACTAGATGAGCATACACGTGTGGCAAGATCGCATACAAATCACAGTAACACAAATACACATGAAGACACTGATAACAAGCTAACAAACACGACAAACAGCCACACCTCAACATAACCCGAAGTGATGGAGACATGTTTCGCACCAACAGTCAAATACAGACTACGTACATGAACTTAGGGAAAATATAAGCCCAACATAGTGCAGACGAATATGTCCGTACCTGTGCGTTGGTATCAGACTCTGGCGCAATGCCATTAATAGGGCCTTTCACCGCGTCATTCTCCAGGGCATGCAGGAATATCCCCACCTGCACAGAGCGATGGGCAGTATACGGCACACACGCCATTGCTCGAGTTGTGAGTATCCACGTATGTTTACGTTGCCATAAATGAGTCGTGCATAGAGCAAGAGTGCGAGGGGAACCGCTGCATGTAACGGCTACAAGCATCGAATAACAGCGCTTCAGCTGTCGCAAGAATAACACAAGGGTAAGTACACGCAGGAGAAAAGCTATTGAGAGTACAGAGGCTTATCTCGACTGTGCAAAGTTCAGTTTATGGCCGTGTAGTCTCAGTTGCCAGGTATGCCAATACAACCAGAATATGCAGACACGTATGTATAGAAGTCCATGACCACGTATTGCCAGTATACTTTATACTACTCATACACCTGTGCCAATGAAACCAATTAAAGAGAGACTGTTAAAAATAACGTCCACTCCCAATATACCATGTCTTCCTCATGCACCCAGGGAAACCATTGCTCGCCTGTGCCCGTGTTGCCTCCTACACCAAATGCAAACGGAAACCTCATCTGGGGATAGGCACCTCCATCCCGACCCAGCACTACAGACAACCGCACAATGGCATGCCGCGTCGAAACGGACGCCAGGAGCTTTCCACTATGGTTAGATATGAAAAGTGTAGGTTGTATTGAGACATCAATCAGGCCAGATTCGGTCCGGTCGCACTCGTACCGTATTGCTTGCAGGATTTATATTGATAAAGTAGCAAACAGCGGAGGCGGATTGATACGGCAGTATAATAGACAACGGAAAACGCATTGTATCTCACCATTGCCGTACGCTGCGTAAGTCCAAACCAAAATGCCTCTGAAAAATGCCTCTGCAAGGTGTATTCCAAAAACCCAAAGGCTATGGAAGACGTGACGTGGTATCCTCACTGTGGACGTGTCTAGAGAGAGCTCAGAAGTACACCCTTTGATATCTGTATCTACATTTTAATCTATATGTATATCTACATCTATAAGTATATTTATAAATCTATATATCTATGTCTATATCTATATCTACATCTACATATAAAAAAAATCAAGATCGATATCTGAGGAAATCCACAAATACTATTTTAGCACTGCAAGATTGGTCTGTATTCAACCCCTCCTGCAACACGCATGTGAACGAGCGCCCAGCCAGCCGGCCAGGCGTAACATCCTATCGTACACCCAGAGCAGCACGCTTTCAAATACCGCGCTGAAACCGACTAAACCTAACTCGAATCCAGCCCAATACATACACACAGCATTCGAGGCAAATGTGAGGCTAACAACCAACAAGCATAACTTTATACTCAGTACGCGACTGAACCAACGCACACGGTCGCCATCTGTTATGGGCGGTGTTCCTTTATGGTATTTACTACAGCATCCTTTATGGTATTACCACAGCATGCATGCACTGAACGAGTCACTCTAGATACGCGTGCTGCAGTGCACCAGAGAGTACCCACGCGACTACCACAGTTACCCAAAATTGTGTGGTAAAATAGGGCTGTATATGCATACCATGTAGGAGCAAATTGCATCGAGAAATGGGACTGTGCATTTGCACTTCACAAAATAGAAAGGCATATGTGCATACTAAACAAAAAGGTGCCTACCTGTCCTCCCACTCTTGGCTGAGGGCAGACCAATAATCTCCTGCACCTCCTTCTGAGCTCTCATCGTATGTCTTTTGGGCCGAAGTGGGGTAATAACCTATGCAAAAGACAGTGACAAACCCAGATAATATAATTAGGTATCAATATACGAGATTCATTGACTCGAGGTAGGAGCTCATTTGACTTTGAGCTGCAGTTCTTATTACACTAAAACTGATCCTTCAAGCCTAGCCTGACCCCTGATAAAGTCAAAATACACAAGAAAGCCCACAAAGACCATACGCTACAGAAATAATCCAACACCACAATATATATGTATAACTATATATATAGATATATATATATATAACTATGTAT